ACGTCGCTCTTGAGGTACAGCTTCAGGTTGTGCCCATGCACCCGACGGGTGCGACCACCAGCATTGGTCAGCTCGACCTGACCATCCGGCAAGATGCATGCGAGTGAGTACTCGGATGGCCAGTGTGGTCGTGGTGCAGGAGGTGGAACCAGCTCATAGTGGTCTCCACCCTTCTTCCGTGCAGGCTTAGCAACCTACTGCTTCGGCCCCCACTCCTCCTTGATCATTTTGTTCGGAGGCGAGACTGGATGGAGTGGCGGCGAAGGAATGATAGGAGGGTTCTGCAAAATGAGAGGTGCAGAAGGATACACGACAGGCTCGTGTACCTGATAAGAAATGGCATGCACAGGCGTGACAGCAATCATAGCACAGTGATCGAATTCAGTCACAGAAAAAGTAGCCTGTTCATTCCCAGCACGCAGGATCAGTTTACCATCATGCACATCAATAAGTGCCTTGGCGGTGGCAAGAAATGGTCTACCCAGAATCAAAGGCACATCCACATCCTCATGTATATCAAGAATAACAAAATCAACAGGATATGTGAATGCACCTACATTAACAAGCAGATCCTCTATGATCCCCCTAGGATGCACAATGGAACGATCAACTAGCTGAATGCTCATCCTAGTAAGGCTAAGTTCACCTTGGTCTAGCTTTTTATACAACTTATACGACATGACATTTATGCTAGCGCCTAGGTCCGCCAAGGACTTGCCTACATGCATGCTGCCAATAGTAAGAGGGATAGTAAAACTCCCTGGGTCCTTGCGCTTTTCGGGCAGCTTGTTCTGCAGGATAGCATAACACTCCTCGCTCAGTAGGACTGTCGAGAGATCCCCAAGTTTCTTCTTGTTGGTGAGGAGATCTTTCATGAACTTCGTGTACTTGGGCATCTTCGACAGTGCCTCCACAAACGGTATGCTGATGTCGAGCTGCTTCAACATTGCCATAAACTTGGCAAACTCAGTCTCCAGCTTGTCTTTGTGTAGGAGAATGGGGAAGGGAATCTGGGGCACATGCTCCTTAACCATTGGTTGTGGCTTTGGAGCAGGGGCTCCCTTCTCCACCCGCACTTCTTCATCGTCGGCTGGAAGTGCTGAAGCCGGTAGTGGTTCCTCCTGCCTGGCCGGGGCAGGATCAGCGGAGATGGTCTTGCTGCTTCTAGTAAAAATGGCATCCAGCTGCTGGTGCGGCTCCCGTGGATTGGGGATGGTGGTGGCAGGTAGAGTCCCTGGTGCTCTGGTGTTGTTCTGGCGCGCTATTCCTCCAATCTGATGTTGGAGGCCCTGCAGTATAGCACCTTGGTTCCTCTGACCTGCCTCCAGCGAAGCGATGCTCTGGTCTATCCTGGCGAAATTTGCCTGGCTGATAGTCATGAATGCCGCTAAAATGTTTTTCAGCTCCGTCATCTGGTTATCTGGAGCTGGAGCTACTGCTGGCTCGGCATATTGACGCTGGGGCTGCTGGAATGGCTGCCCCCTGCCTAGACTGGTAGGGCTGTTGCGGTAGAACTGGCCCATGTCTGGCCTGGAAAGGCTGCCTCTGCTGAAAACCACCTGCTGGCTCTGGGAAACCAGGTGGTTTAGTGGAGTTACTACTCCAAGCGAAGTTGGGATGCTGGCGCCACCCTTCATTGTATGTGTTACTATATGGATCGAGGCGCCGCGCATTGGTGATGAAGGCCAACTGCTCCTGGGGTGTAGAGGACTCCCACATAGCCTGGAAGTCCTCCACCAGATGATTCGAGCTCTCACACCACTGACATTGAGCTACTGGAGGTGTAGCCAAACCTCGTCCCAGTATAAGACTGTTGGGCTGCTTCAATGTCTGCACTAACTCCGCCACCTGCTGCTCGAGCCCGGATCTGGTCTCCTTGGCGTGCACACCACGGTCCCGGGAATGTCTGCCTCTGCTGCTCTGCCCCCAGGAATGATCTCTGGCAGCCAATGTACTGATCATCTGGTTCAGTTTGGGTGGAGTCTTGGTAAGAATGTCCCCTCCTGGGCATAGAGACTCAATCACCCTCTGGCTTTCCAGAGAGAGAGCACTGTAGAAGTTCCCCACTGTGAATGCATCACTAAAGCCATGATGGGGACACTGCCAGAAAAATCCCATGTACCGCTCCCATGCATCACGAAGTGACTAATCTGGCTCTTGGCGGAAGTGAGTGATCTCCTGCTGGATCTCTGTAGTCTTTGATGCCGGATAGTACCTGTGCACGAATTTGTCAGCCAGATCGTCCCAAGAGGTGATGGACAATGGGGGCTGGGTCTCCAACCACCTCTTAGCATTCCCCGCCAGAGAATGGGGGAAGAGGTGAAGGCGGATTGCATCATCAGGGACACCGTTCAGCTTGAACCCGTTCGTGAGCTGCAGGAAACGGGACAGATGCACCCTTGCCTCCTCATCCTTCAAGCCATGAAAATGGAAAGAGGATGTAATGAGTTGAATCCAGCATGGCTTGATCTCGAAATTGTTCGCTGGAATGGGCGGATAGAGGATGACAGGCCGGATGTCAGCAACCCGGGGAGTGTAGTAGTACTCCAAGGTGAGACCCGGCGGCGGTGGTGGATGATGAACCCCATCTGCCTGGGGTATGGGGTTGTTCCCCAAGACCTGATTTACCGGGGGAGCCTGGTGAGGATTCCCCTGGTGTGGATTGTAATCTCCTTCCATCTCGTACTCGTCCTCGTCCTCGCTGATCAAATGGCCGTCTATGCGCTCTTCCGTAGCCAGTCTAGCTCGCTGTTGTCTCCTGAGTTGGCGACAGGTGCGTTCAATCTCTGGATTCAACGACAGTAAACCTCCCGACTGGCTACGGGTCATGCACTACCTGCACACACTCAAGCAAGCAAACCCGTGAAGGCACAAGTGGGAAAGAACAAACAATCAATGCGAAAATGAAAATGCTAAAGTAACATAAATCACTTTTCTTCAACAACCTAGCCGTCCCCGGCAACGGCGCCAAAAACTTGACTCACTCCTACTGTCACTCTAGAAAATGGCCAAGTGAAACCACTTCCTAAAGCGTAGTATAGCGGGTTTGGGTTTTAATGTCAACCCGGGTCCTAGATGTGATGACTACTCAGTGAATTCTTATTATCTAGCGGTAAAACTTACGTGCAGGTTCAAACAAGCAAAAACACAAAGCAAGTTAAACGGTTGTTTCAAGTCGAGAGAGGTCACCCGGATATGGTTCCCCTAGACTGCAGTTAAGCCGGATTGCAATTTACCAAGTTCAGTTTCCATGAAAGTTATACTGCGGAAGGTTCTTAAACAGTCTGAAGTCTCGACTAAAGGTCTCCAGACCCTCTCAATCTGAGTCTCCAGCGGGCGACTAACCTCCACCGGAGTAAACAGATTGAGGCCCTAACGAACCAAACCTCCACTACCGAATTGAATTCGATACAGAATAGCAAATTGGCTCTTCGACTAAAGTCACCAATTTGCCACCTTCAATTAAGGGTGCTCTACCAACCTAGGCAGATATTCTCATTCTAGGTTAAAGCAGAAACAACAGGAATTTGATAAGGATTCAAGTCATTCAATCATTCAAGCCTCAATCGAATATAATCAACTCATAAATCTGTACTTGGGTTCATACAATCAGACCTAACATACAAATCTAGGGTTCTCCATACCCAGATGAATGGGAAAACTACTCCATGGAGAAAGAAGCAAAAGCAAATTCAGATGCGGAAACCATACTGTGAAGGATGGATTTCAGCTCCTGGTCGTCGATCGGCATTTCTCCAAGCTCAAGGAGGGCTCCAATGGTGATGAAGATCAAGCTATGGCACTTGGGAACTCTTGTTCGTCGCTTTCTCTCTCTAGGAATCACTCTGTCTCTCTAAAACTCGGAACCCGTGATTTTTGGCATTCTTTTCCTTTAAAAGGCTGACTGTCGCGATACCCGGTCGAAATACCCGGTCAGGTATATTGGGTCTCGACCGGGTATAATTGAAACGCGCGTTTAAGAGAAGAGAAAAATCCCCGGTCTTCTCTAAGAATCCCCGACCGGGGATTTATGCTTCACGATCGGGACCCCTTCTGTTTCTCAGACGCCAAAAACGATAAATACCCGGTCGGGTATTTGAGCCCATGACTGGGTATTTTCCTCCTGCAGCACACTTCGACCCAACTTCGCTCCTTTCGGCCCAAAACTCGTTTCCTCGCCTCGATTCCAACGCCGGGCCCTGAAATATGACATAGACGCACAACCTCGCGTGAAATCGGCTTAAAACACAAGAATCAACCTCTCAAACGGCTCAAGAATAGGGGTAAAAATAGGTGTAATTATAGGTCTATCAAACTTCAAACCAAGGGATGTCCGCATTATCGCTAGTTTTTTGGAGCTGCTCCCAGAGAAGATGATGAAACTTGTAATCTGGACTGCCATAAACTCCAGTAAGCATCCAATCTGGTGCAACTTGATTAGAGATGCGGACAGTGATATGTTGGTGACTGGCCTCGACCAGATGGACTTGGAACATGTCTGGTTTCCAAGCCAACCAAATTCCTCCTTTGCGTCCCACTGCATCCACTCGCAGAACCTCAGGGAATCCCAACCTGCTGCAGACTGAAGTTGCTCTGTCCCCGCTAATTTGCGGTTCTAGAAGAAGGAGAAAATGGGGTTTATAGGTCTCGATTAATAATTTGATTGACCTCCTAAACTCCTTGCTCCCTGCACCACAGACATTCCAAGCAAGAACTTTAAAATTAAGGTTTGTAAATAAAGACATAATATAAAGGAAAAAGATGAAGAGAAAAACGCAGCGGCACAGGGCACAAATCATAAAGAAATGGCCGATTCTTGATGGGGCTCTCCGATCGCCGAATGACTGAGATTCGGGTTCTCCGTTAGGGTCTCTACCATGTCGACATCCCCTTCCTTGCTTCCCCTAACTGCCTGGAATTCGCTTTGCTTATGTTGGGATTGCGCAATAAATTCTTTGATGGCATTGATGGTGACTGGGAACGAGGCTTCTTTTAACTTATTGGTCAGAGTTCGCTTATTGATCGTCACCTAGGGTGGTCTTTTAACTGCTTTCAGACTGACTCCTTTGTGGAGCTCCTTGGCCGGCGACCGATCATTCCCCTTTTTCCGATAATGTTGTCGAGCTGATGAGAGAGGATGTGAATTAGGGTCTTTGTTTCCTTGAGGTCTGATATCAGAGGCGGGACCGAAATTAGGTGAATCTTAGTGTTATTGGCCCCTAGAAAAGTCTCTGTTTATGGACCCAAATTCCCCGTAGGCCCAACTTGTCTTGTCTTCGAGGAAGAAGCATCTGTGGGCTGGGCCCGTGGTTGTTCCCTCATGGGCTCCCGCTGCGAGACCACTCTCCATTCTTTACCCATCTTAATTGGTTGATTCTTTCCTCCATTATACTGGTCCTCGTTCACTGCCTCTTTCCCTTTTTGTTTTGACGACAATCCCTTTTTGTTTGCAGCTTGAATATCCCCCTTTCCTTTCGCACCCGGCGACCCATCAGCCTAGGTATGGGGCCAAATCCGGCCGGAGGTTCCACTGGAGTTTCTTCCGATGAGGCTAGGGATGGCAATGGGGCGGGTTTGGGGCGGGTTTGCCTAAACCATCCCCATCCCCATCTTCAAATACCCAAACCCATACCCGCCCCATACCCATGCGGGGGATTGTTTTGCAAACCCATCCCCATACCCGTGGGTTTCGGGTACCCATGGGTAATACCCATCCCCGACATCCAACATTATTATACCTAAAACTTACAAGAAAAGTTTTAATTATAACCATAAACAAAGCTATTATATCATGAAGTCAACAAAACACGGTCATTTTCTAAATACGATTCAAAGAATATGATCCTAAAACATCCATTAATACATAATATAGACTACAATATTTTTTAAATTATTATGCTCTAACTCTTGATACATTTACTAAGTAATAATTAATTAACATAATCTTGTTGACAAGGGGGAAAGTGAAAGAGTGGAAGGATAATTGAGGGAAATGAATTAGGTTTTGTTTAAGGTGGTTACTCAATTGTATTTCTACTATTTATTTTCTCAAGTTATCATTATCATCATTGATAGATTACAATTTAATCCACATATTTTTTTATATGTGAAGAAATTCTCTTGGTGGGGCGGGTATGGGTATGGGTATGGGGCGGGGGAGGCTAAAACCATACCCGCCCCATACCCATCAAACTTTTTGCGGGTTTTACCCATACCCGCCCCATACCCGGTCAAAGCGGGGATTCCCCGCGTTGACTGGGTCGGGGGCGGTCGGGTACCCACGGCCATGGGTTTGATTGCCATCCCTAGATGAGGCTTGATGACTGCCAAGTCCCGGGGCCACGGCAATGGCCAAAGCTTGATTGTTCATTGAGCATCTATCCTCTAAATGACCAATTTTACCACATGTAAAGCATATTTCAGGAATGTTTTCATAGAGCACTTGTTGCCAGAATCCGTCTAACCTGATATGCGTGGGCAGCGGTTTTGTCATGTCGAGTTTAATGGCTAACCGTGCAAACTTCCCACGTTCTAGCTGTTTCGTGTGATAATCAAGTTTAACAATCGTGCCAATCAGGTTTCCCAAAGCAAAAAGCACCTCGCGGTGATAGAAGTGAACGGGCAATTCCGGCAATCGAACCCAGGCTACCACTCTCCGATGGGGCTTGTCAGTCGTTCGGAAAGTCGGCGACCACTGATGAACGATCAAGTAGTGGTCTAAAATCATCCACGACTATCCCGTCAATGCCAGAAGATAATCCTGATCATTTCCAAATGTCACCAAAAAAGTATCATTGTTCAGATCCGCGTGGGTATAATCTTTGTTAATGACGTTAATACTTATATTGAAAATTAAATGAAAATTTTATCAAAAGTATAGGACGTAAACTTTATTAACGACGTAAACGAAGAGGGAAAATAAGATATCATAAAAATATTAATACAATTAAATGGAAATTTAAAATTAATATTAATATTCAAAGAAATTTAAAATTAATATATTAAGTTTTAAAAATGGACATTTGAGAAGATGATGAAGAAGAGGAAATCTTAATGGTGAGCGGCAAATATGTGCTTAGATATGGTAATTAGGGGTGGGCATTGGGCGGGTCAGGTGGATTTTTATCATAAAAAGCACCCACCCGCACTTAAACAGATTGACAATTTTTAACCCACCACCCACCCACATTTAGTCTCGGGTTGGGTCGGGCGGATGGTGGGTAATGCGGGTGGGTTTGCGGGTTCACCCACATCACAAAGTACATAATATAAATGAGTCAACTTGACATGATAATCGATGGAGAGAGTTATTGGCGGAAACAAAAAGATGGAATAGGGAGAAAAAATGTCAAATTATTTCTAAAATTGGATAAAAATTCTATTATGGAGGAGTTTTCTATAGATGGAGATGATTATCAGGTAAGGTAACTAAGAAAAATAATTCAACTGAGAAAAAAGAGGTGATTTAGGCACAAGAATCAAAGGAAAAATAAAGAGAAGAAGAGGGGATCAAGATTTGGAAGATTGGCTTTGAGGTTCAATCTCCAGATCAATCCTAGTTTTCGTCTAACGTCTTCACTCTCCCGCGCCCAAGCGTTTGTTCTTTTTGTTGTTGGGTTGAGCGGGTCACCCGTGCACCCACCCACAACCCACCCGGCATCCGACGGATGGCTCTCAGCGCAACCCGTCACCCGCCCACAAACCCATCCACATAACAAAATTCAGGTCAAATGCGGATAGGTCGGCCCAAACCCGCGGGTGATCCGCCTGCATGCCCAGCCCTAATGGTAATGGTGGTTGGAATAAGAACAAGAAAGGTTGGATGAGTTGGCCGAGATATTTAAGGAAAAAATATGCTAATTACTTAAATACTTAATTAATTATTAATTACTAACTTCTCATTAACTATCTAATTTTCTATTAGCCAATAAAAATGCTTTAAGCAATTTTTGGGATTAAGCACCAGAACTCGTGCCGTGTAAATGTTGTATCTAGTAATTTGGGACTATCACAGTATATTTGAACTAATCATATTAAAAGAAACTTAAATATTATATGACCCCATTGATCGAGATTTATGCGAGTAACGGTATGACCACGTTGAAATTTATGATAAACACTATAATTGATCTAGCTATATGGAGGGCAGCTAATGAGTAGAGTTGACACGAGCTTGCCCCCAACTAATTTAACAACACTGGTTTAACCTTGTTGGCAAACCATGATAAGCAGTGCATATAATCTTTTTTATACAAGCGACGTAGTTGATCTAGCAATAGAACTACTTTGTTTTTTTCATGGGTTTAGGATTATAAGGTTTGTTGTATGGGGTATACAGATTCTACTTTCTAAACTGTTTGTATAATACCAGACAACACAAGATAGATATTTATAAACCAACTAATTTGATTATTACAAGTATGTAAAATTATACTAGGAATTTCATTTATTAGGCTTAATACACCTTTATAGCAATAACTTTCGCGTTTTTGACAATAGCTTAGTTTGGCCCTGCTGTAGCTTTTGCAGAAGCAGTTTCTGGCTGGAGCTTTTGGATAAGTACTTTTCAAAAAAAAAAAAAACAGTTGAGTGTTTGGCTGTAAAACTATTAGAAGTGCTTTTTAATATGTGAGGTTGTATAAGATGACTATAAAGGACTTATAATATAAAATATGAATAAACATTCTAAACAATAAAAAGTAGTCAAAATGGATCTCATTAGATTTCTTTTATATTAAATAATATGATTTTATAATCTATTTTATTTTTAAAATGATATAAATGAAGGAAAATTATATTTTCTGAAATAAAATTAAAATATGGTAAGGATAATCTTGTATTTTCAAAATAGCTTTTCGCAGAAGCTCCAAATCGGAGCTTCTGCTTTTATGTTATACAAAAGCGCTTTTCGGCTTTTCAAAAGCCGAGCTTTTAGAAGTGTTTGGCCCTGCTTCAGCTTTTGAAACCGAAAAGCACTTCTAAAAGCAGGGCCAAACATAGGGAATAATAGGCTAATAGCCACTTTTTGAAAAATACACAGATATAGTCAGAGGCGGAGCTAGGATCCAGAGATCGGGGGGGCCGAACTTTTTTTATAGTATCCGTCAAAATGTTCTAAGAAGATAAATAATAATAATAATAATAAACAATTCATTCATTATAGAAACCCAAACAATATTTTAGAAACCCAAGCAATATTTTAGATAATTAAAAGATATAAACATGTGTTATAAACTCAAATTTTATGTAATGGTCTATTCAAAATAAATAGTAAATGACCCGCATACTCCATCTTTAATTATCTGGTTTGAACTTTAAAATTAGAAACTATATGAAGATGAAGTACAAAAGTTATTATAAGATATAAACATGTGTTATAAACTCAAATTTTATGTAATGGTCTATTCAAAATAAATAGTAAATGACCAGCATACTTCATCTTTAATTATCTGGTTTGAACTTTAAAATTAGAAACTATATGAAGATGAAGTACAAAAATTATTAAAAGATATAAACATGTGTTATAAACTCAAATTTTATGTAATGGTCTATTCAAAATAAATAGTAAATTAAACCAAAAAGAGAAAGCTGCAAAAATATGGTTTTGCCAGGGATTGAACCTGAGTACCTGGAAGATAATAGGATCTGCTTTCCGCTGGACTAGAGCTAGTCAAAGGTTATCATTTTTGCGCGGAACTGTAATTGTATAATAGATAATTTCTTCAGAATTTCCAAAATTCTCGATATTTTTGCACGCAATCTTCAAAATTCTTGGGGGATCGGGCCCCCCCCCCCCCCCCCCCCCCCCCCCCCCCGAGGAACAAGGTAGCTCCGCCCCTGGATATAGTCATTCCATTAATAACTTTAACGGCAACATCGTAAACGCTGACTGTACTAACGGTTCGGTGACGTGGATGACTTTAAATCCAGATTGAAAATGTTCTCATTTATATGAATTAAAGAAAAAAAATGCTCCATGCGAGTTCATTCCACGACCGACCTTGCTCCATGCGAAGATCATCAGAAACCCCAGAAAATTAATCACACCATTTGCAACTTATTTATTTCCCCTCTCCTATCAAGCTTCCCCTTTAATCAAACACATGAAAAAACAAGAATACATACTTATCTATCCCTCTCCCTCGATTTGTCTATCCCTCTCCCCCAATTCCAATTCGTCGAGTTCTAAGGCTCTGGCGCCACCGCCCTCGACGAATCTCGACCAGGGGGAGAACTGGGATGTGACGAGTGCGTCATCGAGTTCCTAGCTTACGCCGCCAATGCCATTGTCAAATCCCGAGCAATGGGAGAACGAACCATCTTCTCTTACCCGAGTTATCAACCCACAGATATGGTGTGTCGTCGAGAAAGAGCATATTGCTCCTTCGTCCCTCCGATTATAAGCGTGCTAGCGCTGGCTTTGAATCTGATTAGATACAGCCGTCTTTATTCGTCGTCGTGGGTTCGGTGGTGTGAGGTGGAGGAGGGGAGAAAGAAGGAGAGTTCCCAACTTTGAATTAGAAATTGATTTTGAGAACCGCCATTGAAGGGCCAGAGCTATGAGCTCTGGTTTTGCGAGATCTGGAAAGTTGGAGCAGCAGAAGGAGATAAAACTTTCTTGCGTCAGCTACATTGGTGGGTGTGGCAGCGAGGCAGTGGTTTGGTGTTTTCATCTTCACTCTGGTCGACAATGGAGATGGTGGGAGTGGCGGGAGAATTGGGGTTTGGAAACCTAGATCCGATCATCGTTGATTGACAGAGAAGTTCAGAGCTCTGGAGAGGATGGGGTTTGGAAACTTTGATTGTTTAATGAAAAATAAATTATTTATTTTAATTCAAAATCTGATGTGGCAGTCAGGTGGCATGACTTGGTGTGTTGGTGCTGATGTGGAAGATAAGGTTACATCCACATCAGCATCTTGTTAACGATGTTAAAGTTTCAAATGGAAATGGCTAATTTTGTCAACCGAGTTTCTAAAATGTGGCTATATCTGTGTATTTTTCAAAAAGTGACTATTATTGTCAAAAATGCGAAAGTTATGGCTATGTAGGTGAATTAAGCCTATATTTTATCTTTATAAATAGATTCTACATGCATGCAATGGCAGATCCAAAGCATGTCACCCTTAAAATTGTAGCGAGAGAACATATTAATAAACATGTTATTAATAAACATATTTACAATTTGACTACAATTCATTTGTTGCAATAATTCAAACATAAATATAATTATAATCTAAAATAATTAATTAACCTCGAGTATGATATATGTTATTATATTCAGATTTGGTTGGACACGTACCAAATGATTCACGGACTTAGATATAACGTCGACATCAAGATGACTATGATCCGTTGGTTGATTCGTACTGCCACAAGAATGCATCAACTCGGCCTTTCTCACAGTCCATTCACGTCCAACATCTCGACATCCAAACCGCACCATCCAAGCACAATTTCCATCCTTGTGCTTCAAGCATTTGACCTTCCATATTGAAGATGTCGCCTCCACCACGACATGCTGAAAGTTGCGTTGTAGTGTGTGATATTTAATCGCCACTTGTGCAACTTGTTTGGAGTGAAAGATCTGCTCCTTGTAGAATTCTCATTCGAATCTTCCTCCTCTCCGTCATCATAGTCACGATCAGATGATAGGGATGGGTAACGGGACGGGACGGGATACCCATCCCGTTTAAAACGGGTATCTAGTCCCATTTGGAGAGCAATCTCCATCCCATGTCCCAAACCCGTACGGGGGACGAATAATGGGTACCCGTACTACCCATAAATACCCGTTCAATTGGGAGTAGCAGCATTGACTGCGAGAAATGAGATCGTCGCGTCACAAAATTGATGGTCCTGGAGAGATTGCCGCATCAGAGGGGAAATCGGTTTATAGCTTTGCATTTTGGGGCAGTGATCAATCAATCGTCTTTTGTGTTCATGTGCATGCGACTACTACTTGGTTAATGCCATCACCTATCTAGTCACTGTATTGTATCCTAGCTAATACCCTACGCTTAAACTTGTTTAAATCTCTTCTTTCGTGTTAAGAGTTACTTTCTTATTTTAAATTTTAGTGATTGCTTTTCACAACGTGTTCCTTTTTTTCAATCTAGCTAATACTGTTTTGTACCTGGTAATGTTGTCTACGGATCTGGTCTAAGTTCATAGATCATTTTCTTGAGATGCATGATAGAAAGGATCCCCTTAATCACTGTGGTTTCCTCTTCAGGTTTGCGTTTCATTATTTCTTACTTTCTTCACTTAATACATATAACCATCATTAGTAGCTACCAATTTTATATTAAAATAATGGGTATAACGGGTACCCGTAAAACCCAAACGGGTATTAACGGGTAACCCATGGGTAGGGATGGCAATGTGGCGGGTTTGGGGTGGGTTTGCCTAAACCATCCTCATCCCCATCTTCAAATACCCAAACCCATACCCATGCGGGGGAATGTTTTGCAAACCCATCCCCATACCCCTGGGTTTCGGGTACCTATGGGTAATACCCATCCCCGTACATCCAACATTATTATACCTAAAACTTACAAGAAAAATTTTAATTATAACCATAAACAAACCTATTATATCATGAAATCAACAAAACACGGTTATTTTCTAAATACGATTCAAAGAATATGATCCTAAAACATCCATTAATACATAATATAGACTACAATATTTTTTAAATTATTATGCTCTAACTCTTGATACATTTACTAAGTAATAATTAACTAACATAATCTTGTTGACAATGGGGAAAGTGAAAGAGTGGAAGGAGAATTAAGGGAAATGAATTAGGTTTTGATTAAGGTGGTAACTCAATTGCATTTCTACTATTTATTTTCTCGAGTTATCATCATCATTGATAGATTACAATTTAATCCACATATTTTTTATATGTGAAGAAAATCTCTTGGTGGGGCGGGTATGGGTATGGGTATGGAGCGGGGGAGGCTAAAACCATACCCGCCCCATACCTATCAAACTTTTTGCGGGTTTTACCCATACCCGGTCAGCGGGGATTCCCCGCGTTAACTGGGTCGAGGGCGGGGTACCCGCGACCATGGGTTTGATTGCCATCCCTACCCATGAGTACCCGTTGTAGAATTTCTTCATCCCAAGTCTCATCCCGTAAAAAAAATTACGGGTATACCGTATATGGGTACCGTAACCCTCAAAAAATGGGACGGATACGGGTATACCCAAATACCCGTTTCTTGTTGCCCACCCCTATCAGATGACACACTCCATGTCTCATCTTCACTCCTGACCCTCATTAATCCCAACATGTATCTCAACACCCAAACAATAAGGGTTTTGTGCAATAAAATTGAAAACCACATTTATCATCCACAATAGGAATCGCATAATGAGATAGAACACCATTCTGACATTCTGGATGTTTGTAAGTGAAATCTGTGATCATATCACTATCTTGTACTGTTTCGTCATTACGATGTATACTCAGAACTAGATTCTTGCAAAATTGGTGGTAAAATTAAAAAAAATTGTGAAATTAACCTGCAAATAGACTCATAGATATATGATACATGCACTTTGATCTTCATCATCAATTGAACTAATTCATCAAGGGTATCCTATTGAAGTGAATTCTAAAGGAAGGGGAGTGGATTATGTTATAGAGGGAGAGTTTCAATTAAAAGATTGACGGACAGGGAGAGAAGAGAAGGATGAAACTCAATTTCTTTCCTTCAAATATCATATGAGTATGTAATTGGAATCCCTATAGGGTTTAACGTTTGTAGTTTTCTTCACACAAGGTTGTTCATCTCTTGTGTGTAATCTGGAAGTCCATGAATTTGGTGGCCTTTGAAGGGCAACAGGGTTCATTCAGTGTGTTGGATAGGCACTTTAAATTTCAAGTTGAGGAGTGGGTGGCTACTCTCCCTAACAGTGACGTGTCAGTCTCTACCGCTCCGGTGGAACAGGTTGGGTAGTCGGAAGCTTTGTCGGGAGAGTTCGTGTGTTTGTTTGATGGGGCGGTCTATCATGATTCACATGGTTCGGAGGGCTTCATGCTTCGGGATGTTGCCGGTATGGTCGTGATGGCCAAAGGAGCAAGTTAATGATGGCGTGGTGGATCCAATGTTGGTGGAGTTGCAGGCTTTCCGTGATGCGATGGTGTGGGGGGTAGGGTTTCATTATGCCGGGTTCTTCGGGGATGTCAAGGTGGTGATTGACAAAGTAAACGCCAGGATCAGTAAGGAAGCGAAGGCCGGGGAAATTTTTCAGGAAGTTCGCCTGCTTCTTGATGCTTACTCGGGGTTTAGTGATAAGTTTTTAGGTACACAGAAGAATAGGGTGGCTCATTTGGTGGCCAAGAAGGCCATATATTTGTTTCCAACAGGGGGTGATGGCTTTGATTTCCGAGTGTGGTTGTGCTCGGAAGTCCGGCTGATGTAACTTTGTTATTCTTGACAATACCAGCGATCTTTTTCTTAAAAAAAAAAAATAGAGTGGTTTGTAGTGACTAAAGCCACCTTGACATTTGAACATTAGATCCCCAAATTGAAAACTATTGTTGCTTGAAGCCCTCATCCACTGATGTGGATAGTAGGGGTGGCTATTTGGACCGAGACCGGATTAAAAACCAGAAACCGGACCGTATAACCTGGACCGGGACCGGATAGTATACAATTCAATCCAATCTTTGGGTTTAGATTTGAGGTAAAAAAAACCGGATAAAGACCGGATAAGAGAGCTCAACACCCAAAACTTAAGGGTAATTTGCATAAACGGTCACAAACCTTTGCACTTAGTACAAAACTTAACTAACTCCTCACCCTTTAAGGCCTTAGGCCACTCAAATCCCACAATCTCAATGTAAAATCAAGACAGAATTGGGACCGGACCGGATCAAGACCGGACTGTATCCAATCCAATCTTCGGTCCTTATATTTTCAAAAAGACCGGACTGGACCGGATCAATTTAGGCCAATTTAACCGAACCGGATCGTGTAACCACCCCTAGTGGATAGGTTGAAATGAAATCTACCGCTATGATACCTCAAGAATTATAACAAGCAGTGTCTTTATTTAATTTTGGTAAATACATTCCAGCACGAGGCCAAGAAAACATGGCGATATTGCAATGTTCCTAATGCAGAGTTAAAGCTGATCAAGGAGGAGGCGGGCCCATCGGGCCAGGAGGAGCAAAGGGAGGGCCCATTGGGCCAGGTGCAGGAAAAGGAAGGCCCAGTGGACCACCACCGAAGCAGTCTTGGAATAACCAGCAACAGCACAGAAAATTCAGGCTGCAAAAAGGAAGCCAAATTACTTTAGCTACTAAACCCTAACAAGTACAGTTTCACATAGATACTACCAATCTGTCCAAATGATGAGAAAATATAAAATAAATAATTAACGTAACATACCAACAGCCTATGATATTACAGAGCCCACCAAACAGCCCGCCCGGCCCTGGTCCAGGCCCAGGTCCACCCGGCCCCGGCGGGGCCCAACCGCCCGGTCCCATTCCGATCCAACCTTGTCAAGCAGGAAATGAACGACGATCAACCACCGGCGGCGATCACAAACAATCAGAGTTCCTGCCTAGAGCCAAAAAAGACTCAAACTTTACAGGGGAACAGAAACTCGGCTTCATATCCTTTTATAGACCAAAAGCTGCTTGAAACTTAGGAAGGCAGATGGGAAAATGGACTCAAGTTTCAAGTTCCAACTGTCCATTCCAATATTTTCCCCAGCTGCTCTTCTTCCCACCTACCATTCCATTCCAATATTTTCCCCAACTGTCCATTCCAATATTTTCAAGCTCATTTGTCACCACTCTACTCCAACCCTCCAATAACAAAATTATATTAAATAGAATCGACATTCAGGCCACGGTGAAAAAATATATATATATGGGCTCAGTAAACATTCTAAAGCTGTCTTGTCCAATAAGCCCACTAAACGGAATACCGTGGCCCAAACTATTGCCCTCCGTCTGGGCAAGGCGCAATCCAGTCGCTTCTTTCTGCTCTCTCACGAGTCACGACTCAAAGCACAGATTAGTTCTGAGTTGTGACCTTCGCGAAGAACTCTCAGTTGCGCCCACTGAGCTCTATTTTTCCTTAAACCCTACTCACCGCCGATAGCTTCATGCCTTTCGGGGCCGTCACTTCTCAGGCATCCGCCATTGAATCTTGGAACACGGTAACTGACTAAAGAGAGTTTTTTTTTCCCCTCAAGAAATGGCGCTGGATGGTAGCAGATGACCACCCTCTTATCCTTCACTCCGCGACCTCTCAGGGTTCGAGCCTCCGCAATCGCTTCCATTACCAACCTTCACTTTCACACTCAAGGTGGATCGCCGGATAGGGAGGAGGTAATGATAATCAAGAACCAGGAGGAAGAAGCTTGGTTTGTTAAACTCGCGTCGACGCTCTTCTTCGTCAATTTGCGTTCTTTGGATCCCTGTTTGTCATATCTTCGAGGGAAGTTGACCCCTTCGATTGCGGTTGAGGTGATTAAGAGGTTTAAGGACGTCCCTGAAGTAGGGTTCAAGTTCTTGGAGTTCAGTAGATCGAATCTGAACCTAATCCATTGCTTTGGTACTTATAATTGGATGATAAGGTCATTTTGTCAAATGGGTATGCTTGATATGGCGGAACTTCTGTTTCATTACATGAGGGGAGACGGGCATTTTCCTGATGGTAATCTGTCGTGGTTTATGATTACTGAATTCGTTCGAGCTCGAAGATTCGATCTCGCCGGTAGTTTACTCTCAGAGCTGAGGGGAATGGGTGTTCAGATTAGTCCTTTTCTGTATAATAACCTGTTGAATGAACTGGTCAAGTCGAATCAAGTGCAGGAAGCTATCATTTTGTTCAAAGAGTTTCTGGCATTGCAGGCTAGTCCCGATACTTGGACTTTCAACATTCTAATCCGTGGTCTTTGCAGAGTAAGGGAGGTTGATAAAGCATTCGAGTTTTTGAACGATATGAGGAGTTTCGGTTGTTTGCCTGATATTGTTACGTACAACTCTCTTATAAATGGACTCTGTAGGATAAATGACTTGGATAGAGGCCGTGGGTTATTGCAGGAGCTGCAATCTAGCAATGATTGCTCCCCAGATGTTGTCAGTTACACTTCAGTTATATCAGCGTTTTGCAAATCGGGGCAGATGGAGGATGCTTATATTCTTTTCCAGGAGATGATTAGGACTGGGGTTAAGCCCAGCACAATCACTTTCAACGTTCTAATTGATGGATATGGCAAGAACAGTAACATGGTTGCAGCAGAAGCCATCTATGAAAAGATGGGCCATTTCGGTTGCTCTCCTGATGTGGTTACCTTCACTTCCTTGATCGATGGTTATTGTCGAAGTGGACAGGTGAACATGGGTTTGAAGCTTTGGGATGCGATGAGAACTAGAAACATGATGCCCAATTCGTATACATATTCCATTCTTATTAATGCTCTTTGCAAAGAGAATAGACTTCATGAGGCTCGTGGGTTTTTGAATGAACTAAAGTCGAGTAATGTCGTGGCACGACCATTCATGTATAATCCGGTAATTGACGGGTTTTGCAAGGCAGGAAATGTGAATGAGGCGAATCTCATTGTCCAGGAGATGGAAGAGAAGAAGTGCATTCCTGACAAAGTGACATTTACCATACTCATTGTTGGTCACTGTATGAAAGGTAGAATGGCTGATGCAATTGGTATTCTCAATAAGATGTTGACTATTGGTTGTGCCCCAGATAGCATTACCATAAGTTCGTTGACATCTTGCCTTTTGAAAGCTGGGATGGCTAGTGAAGCATACAGAGTAAAGCACATGTTAGTTCAGGACCTCAACTCAGGTCAATCAAGTTGTAGGAAGATTGACCATCTTATTAGAGCTAGAGATATCCCTGTGGCAGCTTGAGAAGGTGGGTTGAAAAGCATACATTGAATTGGCTTATTGGACCCTTGTCTGGATCCTTGCTCCTTCTACCTCCTGCCCTCGGCTTGTAGCATAAAAACTAAATTGACATACAATTCAGGAAGAGCAGGTACCTTTATCCCATCTGTAAGACCTTTCCACATCAAGAACATCAATTTTGCAGTTTAGCATAACTTTCATTGTTGCTGATTCTGTCTTCATTCAGCATTTGTGTACGTTTTCGACATTTACATATGCAATCATCAACAAAGTCCTTTGCACTGACCTGTCCTCAAACCGGGGAGCTGGGCAGAAGGCTTTGCTCTAACCGAAGCGTAGAAAGGCAAACCCAGAGGCCACCTTTCTCTTCTTCTTAATGATTGGAAGTTGATTGAGTAAATATCCTTTGGATGGTGAACTGATTAACAGACGCTGTACAGTCTGTCTGTTAGCTAAATTCTAGGTTCCATTATCAAGTCTGTTGAGGTTCGTGGGAGGGTACTGATACCGTTTGTATCAAATTTGTGTGCACCGTCCGGCATGCAGCTAATATTTTCAATTTGAAGTTGGCCAGCAAGGGTCCACAGTTTCATAATTCCTGACATGACATTTCCTGTCCAGCAGTTGCAAAAGGTACCTGGTGAGCTCTTCTCACAACTTCTCAATCTTTTCTTTCTAAGAAGCTGTCTTTGAACTTGAGATTGGTGGCCTCTTAATTTGAACCTGTTGGGCTTCTGTTTTCTATATATTACTGCTAATAAAAGTGATGGCTTTAGGTGGGTTAATGACCAATATGGTCACTATACTCATCTATGTAGAACAAAATAGCTACTGAACTCTGATTTGAGTCAACTAAAGCACTTAACTCGGCCATATAGGTCAGACTAAGCTCTGCTCTGGTCATAGAATATACTCAGAAATTCTAGCATAACCCCAAATCAAACTTACTTTGTAAAAATGAGATTTTTTTTTCCCCTTGAGACTCTAATGCAAATTATAATGAGTCTACTCCTAGTTTAGAACTACTCAATCTCTTATGAAGTAGAAAATTATTTACAATATGCTTCCATCGACTTGTCATTAAAATCTAATGTGATCTGGGGAACCTAGCTGAGTTGTCATGGGAAGCTAACCCCGACATGTTGATCTAGATAACAAAACCTGAAGTCTGCATCTATGTGAAAGTCCCGATATCGCACTGCAGTTCTTCTACAACGCCTCATGTCCTGAAGTTTGTCAAACCATCGTTCTAAATGCCACGATTTGTGTTGTTTCTGTTTCAGGCAGTGGTTTGATGTGCCTTGCTGCGGAGGTGATTGGATTTGGTTATAGCAGGAAATAGAAGTTACCTTTCTCAAACAGCTTGACATGGGAGATTATTGATTGCACGGCAACGGCAATAGAAAGCTCAAAATTTCGAATGGTCAGACAGAGCATGGCTTTGGGTACATTGCCTTGTTCTCTGCACTGCGGAGAGTTTGTCAATCGTTGTAATAATGTTCAACTCGAAATTGCGCACTACATTATTTGGAGTACTTCTGTTTTCTTCACCAAATTTTATGTACACCCACGCATCAGACGACATTTCTAACCTTGGAATTTATCATACCGAATTATCAATTGTAGACACGCTAAGCCCAAGCTACTGATCCTTTCATGTTCTTATTTAGCAAATAGAGTCTCGTAACAATGCGAGACTAATACACGAATTTTTGTGCACGGTTTTACCAAAAACGAACATCGCAGGGTTCACCGCTGGACAGAGGAGGAAGAGAATTGTGATTATTAAAATAAGTAGCACTAGTATTGCGTTGACTACCTAGTTCTGGCCAAACAATTCTTCTTTCAGTGATCAAAAGTTGAAAGGTCGCTGATTATTGAAGCTGAGGTGCTTTCTTCTTCTGAAACCAGAATTCGTCTGAGAAACTGATCTCTCAGCTCTCAAATCAGCCTTTGCTATTCTCGTCAAGGGGAAAAGCTTACTGCTTTGCTCTGATCTTAGCACACCCACAAAGGGTATACGAGAATCAAAGGGCAATCTCCATTACTGGAGAAGCTTGTTGTTCTTGATATGCAAAGTAGCAGTTGAAGCATGTTTGGAAAGGCACTAAGGTAATGATCATAGGTGATTTGCAGATTAAAGCTTACAATTTCAACATTCCTCTTATAATTGTTACGAGCAGTCGGCTATATGTATATCTTGTTGTATCAAGAACAAGATATCAATTGGTAATCTGAAATCAATTGGTAGAGTGTTGCTTCCAAAACCCTTGTTTATGGAGCCAAAAAAATGTACCAGTGTCTTTTGGGGTTGGAAATCCATAAGGGTACCAAAATCTCGTTGGTCTCATGGATTTAAAAGACCCACCCCTAGATGAGGGTTTGTGAAATTCATCGCTCATGTTGTCTACTATTCTGTTCAAATCCATTGATTCTGCACCATCCATCACTTTTCAGATCCTACAGCAAACGGACTTGCCAGAGTCGTTACACTCGTGCTGTTTTCTGTCTTGGTAATATAGCACTTGTTTATCTCAACCATCTATAGTATAGATGCATGAAAAAGGAAGAATGCTCCACAAAGAAGACAGAAATTCCTCATTACTTTATTGCTCACGCTTAGAAACACAGAAACTTATTCCTTATCACAATATCATAACCATTTGGGATACAATAATAGGCATACTGAATAGCTGACTGAAAATAAGCAAAACCCAATTGCTAGTAGTAGCTACTGAGCCGAAGAACAACTTTAGGTAGATCCAGAAGCAACTGATGGGTCAATAGAGAGAGCTACCAAACTTCTCTATTTCAAATTATCTTCCTGTTGCATATGGCCTGGGCGAAAACTTGAAATTACCATACCTTTTCACAGATTCATGAGGGTCCAAGGTTTTCACGTGTCGTGGCTCGTTAGTCCTTGTGGCGTAAGGATTGTAGGCTTCAGTTGGAGCAGCAGACCATGCGGAATTAGTACTTCTTTTAGGCCATCCAGTCTCATGGGTTGTCTCCATCTTGCCAGGAATATGTTCTGTATAGGCTGGTTTGATGGCTTCTTTGAGGTACCCTATCGCTGTGCCGATATTATTTGTTGCACCAGGAAAGGAGGAATCAGGCTGAGATGCCTTACCACCATTAAAAAGTCCAAACTTTTGTGTGTTACTGACCTCATGCTGCACTTTGGTGATGATCTCCTCTACTTTCTGCAGGCGATTGTAAACCGGGTCTGAAGTTTCATGCACTTTCTGTTCAACTCTGTAGTGCTCCACATTCGCAGGCTCCATGGAGTGACCATGCCTTTTCTCCGAGGGGAGAGCATGCTGCTGCTGCTGCTGCTGATACATGGTCTCAGCTCTGTAGGACTCTGCAGTCTCGCTGGGAAGAGCTATGCTTGGCCTTTTCCTCCCTTCAGCATCAATGATCACTGGCTTGTGGACGTGATCAGAAGGGTAGGTACTTGGTTCCCTCCATTCGCCGACTCGTGGGCTGGTGTACGTTGTGTAGCCTCCTTTGAAAGCATTGCCATACCCTGCCATGTTGCGTATAAGCGGAACTGAAACCTACTCTCTGATCAACTCTTTGTTGCTCACCTTGTTATATAGCCAAGGGAACTCAGTAAATGGAAAGGAATGATGTCCGGTTCCATCTGTTTTAGCACTTCAAAGGGATCTTATGCTGTTTAAATCTGCAGAAGTTCTGAGGATCGAATTCTACGTGCTTGGCCATGCAATGTCCTTCTTTAGTTTAAAGGTCCCCCCTGGAATATCAGATAGTGTCCGTTAATTACTGAAGGAATAAAGGTGAAAGGGAAATGGTGGAAGAATAAAAACAGCTGAAGATAAGCAGCACGAAGAATTTGAATCTCTTCAACTGTTGAACATGAAAACATGCATTGCGAGTCTGGTTTCAACTCAGGAAAAGAACAAACTTCAGAGAATCTAATTTTCCTTTTCTCTGGATTGAGACCTCCAGTTTCGACTACACTGTTGGAGTTTCCCCAAAACATCATTTGTGTCTGCTTTTCCTTTCCTATTCTGCTCCACATTCTCTGCAACTTGCACAGAATCAAGAAAGGAAAGGGAACACAGAAAATAACAAAATGTTAGATCAGAAGTCACTTTCCGTTTCGGGTGTAGCAAAAAGGAAGGATCACGCATCAGTCTTTTCTTCCTGTTCTTTTCCTGATCATTTTCCCTCAAAACCGTCTTCCTTTAACAGTTCAGAGAAAAGACCTTCACTCGTGGAAATTTTGCCATGGAGAGATTCAGTCATTGGTAAGTTCCAAAGTGAAAATAAAATGATACTGATAGATAAACATTGCAGGAGAACACATGATTGACTTCATTAGAATGTCTACCGAAGTCTTCCATTTCTCTAATGTATGGGAATTGTACGACAGATAAATCGATTATATATCAGGACCTAGCAATGGCATCCTACTCGTTTCTTCCCTTTATACAAACAATTTTTTTGTGAATGAATGCCAGAATTTGCAGCAACTGCTTTAATTAGTCCATATGGCTCTTCTTAGAGATCAAATGTGGGAACTTCCTGCAAAGAAGGATACAGTGCACGGAAAACCATTCTGTCAAAAACACTCCGGTAAGGATCCTTCTCTCTCTTCTTCAAAAGGTAATCTATATTTGTTTGGACATCAGATTTTATCTGCAAGTAGAGCTGGTGAGCTTCTTCTCTGTTTCTGAGGATGTCTTCCCTTCCTGTAGTCTCTATAGGCTTCCCGAAGAGAAAATACATTCGGCCAGGAACCTTTGGCAAAAGCCCTGGAATAAAGAGTTGTTGGTTGGCAACTTCTCCTTTGGCCTCATCCCTATTAATTTACCCCAGCAGCAACAACTTAGTGGGGGACAATGCTAGCTATCACAGAAATGATACATAGACATAAGGGGGGGGGGGGGGGGGGGGGGTCACCTCACTCTCGGACCACTGCGAGCACTGTCTCTAACATAGTTGTTCAGGATAGGGATGTTCATCAGGTCTTTGTAGTCCAGAACTAACTGCCATGTTCAGCATGACAAAGTTATAAACACAAGCTCGAATTTGAGAGATTACTTCCTTGAGCAAGAACTAAAAGGGTTACCTCTACTAGATCATCCTCTCCAACGCCTCCAAACGGTACAATTGTAGCTCCGAACTTGGCAGCCATTCTGACAAATTCCTGTTGTTCAGGCCAGATCAGCTTGTGTGCTTCCCCCTGGAAATTGTTGAAAAGGAAAACCAGTAGCCGAAGTGAGCCAGTGGGGAGATTGAAAGTAGTAACCAGCATTCAGAGTAAAAAAAAAAGGGAAGAAGATGGCATGGCCGTCCTTTAACAGGCAAAGGGAACTTCAACTGGCAACAAGGGGTTGAACTATGTAGCCTTCTTATCTTCCCATCTCTCTTTTTGGGGATTATCGGTATTCAAATGCGTAATTTTGAACAGCCAAAGACTTTGCTATCATGTTAAAAAGCAGTGTATCTCAATAATGCGAGTTAATTTGGATGTCTGAAAAACGGATTGATTTACAAGCTGAATACCCCTGTTAAATATTGACCTCAGAAGAACTTGGACATGCATACCTTGTAATGTAGAGCCTCTCGGGCACCTCCTGGATAAAGAAGAACATGTGATTTTGATGAGAGCAATTTGAAAAAATTGCTTGCTGCAACTGGTACTCCACCCATCACTTTAATCCAGTCCTGGAAATTGAACTCAGAGGATGAGGACTCGAATCTGCCGCCGAATATTGCTGGATGAGCTATACCGCGAAGGAGGATGTTCTTCTGTTTCAAGTACTCCCCAACAAGGGACTGAAGTTCAATACCCATCAGCATGTGGTACCCAACTAACAGCACAGGCCCTTGTGTTGGAACTCCTGCTAGACCTTTCACTATACTTCCATCTTGTAATGTTGACAGCATCACAGTTCCAGTAGCTGCCTGCATGAACCTGCAAGTTTGTGTTGATTTCTATCAAAAGAGTGGGGATATCAACTAAGAGATGGCTTTGGAGCTATGAGCTATTCAGCAGTTCATTCCCAATACCAATCAGGAAACTGGGAATAGAGACGACAATTTTGACATGATTCGTTTGAATGCGTATTACTATCATCCGATTCGTAGGTCGTATGAGACAGATCTTTCATGTTATAAAATATTTAGTCATAATCATCTATCTTGACTTCAATTTTATTTTCTCACTCTACCTAGCTACACGGAACGGAGCGAACCAGACCAAATAGATATTGGTCTATTTAGGATATGTGTATCAGATTGCAAACAAAATATAATTTTATTTAATTTCTGATTTGAAGAATGCCTATGCAGAAAGACCAACTGTGGCATGAGAAATGGCAGAGCACCTTACCTGCCATCTTTGAAGAATACCCGTTCAAATTCTGATTTGCTGGGTGGGACATAATCCCTGACAAAATCGACCTTCCGCGAACGACGATATTTGCCTACACCCTTAATGATAGTAAGCAAACTGAGGCCCTCTTCCTGTGCCATCACGGACAGAAAGAAACAAATATAAAGGAGAAAAAGGAACGGGAAAAAGAAGAGACCAAGAATCCATCAGCTTTAGTCAGAAGCTCTCTTCCATTATCAGAAGAGCTTTATAAAAGGGCTTAGAAGCGTCACTCTTCAACATTCATTCAGACTCACCAATAGAAGGGTATGCCCGTTGTCTTTGAAGTAACGAACTTGACAATTCTGCAACCCCTTTTTCAGACGTTGAGCTTCATTTTTGCTAGGAAGCATAGAATCTTGGCCACTTCAAATAGAAAACACACACATCAGTTTTACCGTCAATATTGCCATTTTGAAAAGCAGCCAAGAGCTAGTCCAGATAACCAAATCCAAGATAAAGTTTGCATGTGGCCAGGCACCTGGCGAGTAGTAGTACTTCAGCTTTTACAGCATGCAGACGTGAATTAGCATAAGAAGAACCTGTCTGTATCAGTTTCAGCTTCCAAACAAGAGTTTCCTTTGGAATAATTTCACTTAACACCTGAAAGGGGGAAAAAAACCCATCCACATAAAAGGCGGCGCATTTTTACGTGCACAGAGAGATTAAATGCACGTAGAAGTCCAAAAGTAGGCTCGCCATGTCATCAAATCGTCCAATCGGCACTCCTGCCCCCACTTCACCCAAACCTTTTCAACTTGAAGATGGGTTGAATCTCCATTTTTCTGGTTGGGATCGAGTTGGAAAGGTTTGGGTCAAGTGGGTGCGTGGGATACTGATCGGATTATATTGGTGGCAGACCAACCTATCTGGCATATGCTGACTCCACAAAACTAACGACATATTAGATAGAAGGATGTCAAGTGTTTGCTTAGTTGACAATTAGTTAGCTTAACTTCGCATTTGCTTTAAATCCTTAGTTTAATGACCGTTTTGTACAAATCTCATAATTTAGTGATCATTTAGGATTTTAGTTCCTGAGGGCTACAGGTGGTCTTTCTCCGGCTGAACACAGTAGTTTGTGTATATTGAAGACTGAACTGACCATGAATTTGAATTTTCGGGACTTACAGAAAGATAACCAAGTAACGATGTAAGTTTTCCAGACAACTGTTCAATTTTCGCTCTTGGAGGAAGCCTATCTTCCAAATCAACCATTGCCATTTTCAATGGATTACCTGTGAAGAAACCACCAACAGTGGTTCAGAGTAGGCATACCATTTTCGAACTATGAAAGACTGCAATTGAAAACACATTGAACCTCTGTGGAGAATCTATAGCCAATGAAAAAGATGATGCAAGTATTAGGTACCCATGATGCCGCTCAAAAGATAGGGAACCAGACTATGGAATTCGTCAGGCATAGCCTCCAAGACAGGAAGCAGAGGTTGTATCTGAGACCTAGTAAACGAAGTTGCTGTGGTAAAAAAAAAAAAAAAAGAGTAAAATTGTCAGATTAGACTGTTTCAACTTAACAAATACTTTTCTAAAAAAATTTTAACAAATTATAAATAACTTGGGAACTTACTGACCTGGATTGACAAGTACGACTACAAGGTCTATTTGAGGATTCCGGGCAGCGACAGCAAGAGCTAAACATCCTCCAAATGAATCCCCTACCAGATAAATTGGCTTATTCGGAGATGAGGCATGCTCAAACTTCAGAGTGTCTTCCACAAATTTCACTAGGCCTTCATGAAATAAACCCAATAAATGTTAACTGATGCAAAATGCAGGGGTATTAGAGCATCCACAAGTTGTGTTGGTTTGTCAGATATAGCAACAGAATTAGATATTCAAGCATACGGCTGATCACCAATAGTACCAAGTAATAAGCTTTCGGGCTTTGCAAACAAAATGTTGAAAAAAACTTCTTTTGGATAAAGAGCCAGAGGGCGTGCGAAAATATTTATTTTCTTGTTTGACCAACTAGCTACTAATGAAGGTAGCAGGCAAGCCCTTTATAATGAGCTTAGCAGAATCAAGGTCTCTAATGCCCCTTGGATTGTGTTAGGTGATTTTAACGATATAAGACGCCCTGATGAAGCTTCAAATTCCCCCAGAGTTGATGCCTCAATGACCCTGTTTAATGAGTGGATTGTGAACAATGAGTTAGAAGAGCACCAAGCTACAGGTCCCTGGTACACATGGCTTAATAAACAGACAACCAACCCTATTGGCAAGAGGCTGGACAGAGTTCTTATCAATTTTCTTTGGATGGATAGAGTCAAGGACAGCAAAGTACATTTTCAAGCTCCAGGCGTCTCGGACCATTGTCCTATTTTCGTCGACACTATAGCTTCTCAGAAGTCACTCCCTAAACCATTCAAATTCTTTAAGTTTTGGTTGCATCACCCTCGTTTTGATGAGTTGCTTGAAGTGGCTTGGAGAAGTAAAGTCACAAGTAAACACCCTCTGATTAGAGTCTGCCAGAAGTTGAAGAATCTAAAGAATTTACTCTGACAGTTAAATAGGGAGGAGTTCTCAGATATCAAGGAGAAGGTTAAGGAAAAGGAAGAAGAGGTACAGAAAATCCAACAGCTGGCTCTTAGTGATCCTTCCGCTTCAAATTTTGAGGCTGAAAGGAAACTGGGACAGGAACTGAAAGTATTGATGGATGCTGAGGAGTGTTTCTTTAGGCAGAAGTCAAGAGAGTGCTGGCTCAAAACTGGGGATATGAACTCTGCCTATTTCCATCGGTCAGTCGGATCAAGGCAAAAGAAATGTACTATACGAATGCTAAGGAATGAGTCAGGAGAGCAAATTCAAGAAGTGGATGAAATGGCTAAGATTGCAGTCAGCTTTTATGAAGATCTGTTGGGGGTGGTGGATCCTGAAGTAATGAAGATGCCAGATAACTATATTTCTGATCTACTGAAACATAAACTCAAGAGGAGCAAACTGGTGACCTCTGTGAACCTTTTACAGATGAGCAGATTAAAGCTGTTCTGTTTGCTATGGATGGGGACAAAAGCCCTGGTCCCGATGGGTTTTCTGCCGCTTTCTTTCAATATGTCTGGCCACTCATTGGAGATGAGGTAAGCTCTGCAATTAAATTCTGTTTTGAGCAAGATAGAATCCCTAAGCCAGTTAATGCTACCATTCTTTCTCTCATCCCTAAAGTCCCAAACCCGGATGAAATGAAAAAATTTCGTCCCATCTCCTGTTGCAACATATTATACAAGTGTATCTCCAAGCTTATTGCTAATAGACTTAGTCCTCTGTTACCTTCTCTCATTAGCAAAAATCAGACTGCTTTTGTCAAAGGTAGGCTTATAGGGGAGAATATTCTATTGGCACATGAACTGGTTCACAAGTATTCTAGACAGAACATTTCTTCGAGGTGTGCTCTTAAGATTGATCTTATGAAGGCCTTCGACTCAGTTAACTGGGAATTTATTCTTCAAGTTTTAAAGTGCATGAAGTTCCCTGAAAGGTTTATTAAATGGATCAGTATGTGTGTGTACCCCCATGCTCAGTGTTTGTTTCAATGGAGGTCTAGTCGGTTATTTTCAAGCAAAGAAAGGGGTCAGACAGGGTGACCCCTTGTCTCCCTATTTGTTCTCTATAGCAATGGAAGTTTTCACATGTTTACTTGATAATTCGGCTGCTAAGGGACTGTTCCCTTACCATCCCATGTGCAAAGGCATTAAGCTCACCCACCTATGCTTCGCGGATGACCTTCTGGTCTTCTCGGATGGATCCAATAATGGGATACAGGAGATGCAACAGGTTTTGGAGCAATTCAAGAAAGTTTCTGGTCTTAAGTCTAACCCTAGCAAGTGTGAGGTTTTCTTTGGAGGGCTTGACAAGGAGGAAAAGAAAATCAGAGCAGCACGATATGGTTATAAGTTAGGTGAATTTCCAGTACGCTACCTGGGAGTTCCTCTAATATCTGGGAAGCTTAGCTTATCTTCATGCCAATCACTAATAGATAAGATTGTTGCAAAAGTTAAGAGTTGGCAAGCTAAGTCATTATCTTATGCTGGAAGAATTGAACTTGTTGGCAAAGTGTTATATAGTCTTACACAATTCTGGATGTCAGTGTTTCTTTTGCCTAAATCTGTCATTAAAGAGGTGGAGAGAATCTGTAGCAACTATATCTGGGGAGTTGGAGTTGGGACTAAACTGAGAGCAAATGTTCTCTGGCAGAAAATCACATATCTAAAAAAAGAAGGAGGACTGGGATTCCGAGATATGTGGAGCTGGAATCAGGCATGTATGGTGAGGCATCTATGGCTGATCCTGCTGCAAGAGGGTTCATTGTGGGTTGCTTGGATCCATAACTATAAACTGAAGGGGAGGGACCTGTGGAGTTACTCCTGTACTTCAGGATCCTGGAACTGGCGCAAGGTATTAAAGTTAAGAGGTAAGATTGCCTCCTTCATTTCGTCAAGCGGGGGGGAACTTCGATTCAAAAATGCTCCTATGCCTACTTACTCTATAAAAAGGGTTTGGCAGACTTTGAGACATGTTCAGCAAACTGTTAACTGGTGGAAGTTAGTTTGGAAGGGAAAAGCTATTCCTCGTAACAGGGTGATTACTTGGCTTGTAATCAGAGGGAATATCAACACTAAAGAGAGGATGAAGAGATGGGGTTATAGTGGGGGTATGGAATGTTGTCTTTGTGGAACAGGAGTGGAGGATAGGGATCATTTGTATGCTTGCTGTCCTTTCTCCCGTCGTGTGCTTGAGTCGGTTTTTGTTAAGTTTATGCAGATTCCAGTTATGCAGAGCTGGGACGAGGTAGTGGCTCTGATAATGTCCAAGCTTGGTGGAATAACAGAGGCAACTGAAACAGGAAAATTGATATGGCAGGCCTGGGTGAGTTATATTTGGCGAGAACGCTGTCGACGTTTATACTCAGCTGAGGAGAAGAGCTGCAATGTTTTGGTGAAAGAGATCAAGTCGGAAGTTGAATGCCTGTTAGGGTCTCATCGAGTTAGTCTGTTTTGGGACTCATTGTCTATAGTGGTCTGTCTTGGTTCTTGTTCTGTGGTTTATTACAATCAGTTTTGTTTTTGATTCCTAGCTAGCAGGGTGTGTTGCTAGCACCTCTTTTTTGATGAATGAAACCCAATGATTCATCAAAAAAACTAGCTACTAATAAAAAGATGACTGACAAAAGGATCATCAAAACAAGAGGCCAATTTGCACATGAACAAGATCCACCACAAAAAAGTAGATAAAGCTCAGAAAGCAGGTTATGAGACATGTTCTGGAAGAATAAGACCTTGAAATGGAGTTCGGTCATAAACTGGAATATGGAGGCACCTAACTTCAAACACCCTGCATTTGCCAAACAGGCATTATTCGTCTCACATTCCGTAGAATCATTGCATAAGTGAAATCTTGAAGAAATTATGTCTAACGAACCGTTTTTGCAATGAAAAAAGCATATGAAGGAACATCATGCATCTGAATAAGGAAAATCAAATCGAAGGCATGAAAAGAAATAAAATTTGGCGTGAGCATGTCATTCAGTAGCATGGTCTGATCCATCAAAACACATTCTGCATTCACCAGTTCAAATTCCCACTCGTCCACGAGAATGCAACTGCCAAGTGATTGCAGAATATCACAGAGAAATGAAAAGTCCAAAGCATTGAAACAGCAAGGAAGACAATTGCTGGATCTTGCAACTAAATGGAACGTGCAGGTCTGAAATCAACCCTTTATGAGCCCTATAATCTACCAGCAAGGTGGAGACAGAAAGTGCAGACTTACTTCCCAAGTGCCTTATGATGCAACGTAAGTCCCAAGCCAACACCATCGGTCCCTGCACACAAAAATATAAACATAGAATTTCAGCATTCCCACAAACTACCCTAAAAGATTTCACTCCAAATGTTGTTATCAAGCACTGAAGACTTGTATTCTTCATTACCAGGAAGAAACAGAAGAATGGGAGAATCTTTGAGAGGTTGCCCACACTCAACAGGACAAAACCAACGAGGTGGCCCTCCATCTGGCCTAATCATATCTTTAGATGCAATAAGATAGTCTTTCACAGTCTTGTTCCCATATCCATCATCCCATAACACATCCATATCCTCTGAAATAGCACCTTTCCCTCTATTTTTCTCACGAACACTGCTTAACCTCATAAATCTCTCATTCCCGTCATCAACCAGAGGAGCCACGCTCTTCTCTTTCTGCTCAACAGCACCACCATCAAACAGAGACTCCGCCTCATCTTTGCCTCTTGTGAAACTCCTTCCATTCACGACCACTGAATCTGATGAAAATCCTGTCGAAGTTGAGTTGACACCACTGTCTAAACTCCGTACCTTCACTTGAAAATGATGCTTGCTGCTCTCTGGAATTCTCAAGAAAGGAAGAGATACAGGAAAAGCTTTAACCAACGATGTCATGTCTCACTCACAGGCAACAGAACAGTTCCAGTCAGAGGCAGCCAATCAAGCAAATATTTTTACAAAGAGCTTCCAACCCTCTTCACGTACACAACTCAATATATTAATTCAACCAAACAATTGTTCAATAATGGTTGCATGAAGCTTTGGAACTAAGAAAAACCACGCAGCACGCAGCAGAGAGAACTCAAGAGAGACCCTTTAACTTGTACGAAGTGTTGATAGCGAGAAAATCCCGAACTACATAATAACTGTCAAACTCACGCCTTTTATGCTTCCCAACCAAAACCAAAGAGGAAAACAACAAGAACTGCGGGAGGGGCAAAACATCAAATAGGTAGCAGGCAAAGACGAAAACTGGAAGAAGAAGAAGAAGAAGAAGAAGGTTATGGGTTCTAGAACAATAAGAAATCCCAGAAACCATTGCGTATCTATGTCTTAATAAAGAAGCGGACCCGCAACCCATAATCAACTCAAGGTGGAATTGTCGATATTTTCCCACAGTGATTATGGGCATCAGCTGTCCACACAAGTCTTGCTGTGGTAATGGTGGTGGCCACAACGAAACAACTTTGCGGTGTAGGGCTTCTGATAAATTGTTGCTTTCGCTTCAGAAAAGGGGAAGGTTGTCAATGGGAACTGGGAATTGGGAGCTCCCGCAGAGTATCAACTGTCGCAGTCCCGACAATTAGAATTGGCGGAGTTTTGGTACTTCTTTTCAGCGGGAAAGAAAGGCGCACGTATACAGTTTGTGTTATACTGCGTAAAGCCGTAAATGACTTTTGCTTATACACCATTTTTGATAGTTTCTACCATTGTGGTCCAACCCTTTTATATGGATAAAAATATCGTTTTAAATAAAAATAATATATTTTAAAATATTGAAACCAATGAAATATATCCTGTTAGGTAGTTTAGTATTGAAAAAAAAAAAGTGACATAATGCTATGTTCTCTCTCCTCGAAATCATCGATCGATTTCTGGAGAATCTCTTCACTGGAAGTTCTATGAAGAACTCAGGAAGAACACGACACCTGCAAGGTGATCGGGGCTGCAAGAATGGATCACACGCTCACTCCGTTCGTGGTAGATGGTGGTGGAATAGTCGCGAGAGTTCGATCGGGGAAGGAGACTTCAATCAAAAGCCAATTAAAGGCATCTTGGATTTCTCCAGAGAAAAAGAAAATCTTTGGTTTTATTAATTCTTTTGATGACATGGACGCTGACAGGACCGTTGACTTGATCGAATTAACAAAAATTTGGATGGAAAATGACGAAATCACCATTTGATATATGCTTAAATATATGTTACCATGTTGTTACAAATTAAAAATTTGTAATCGTTTTACACTAAATGCAAAGGTTTGTGGCCATTTATGCTACTTGCCCTATATTCGCACGTTGAACTTCGAACTACATCACATAAAAATGGTAAATGCCATATTTGGTCACCGAGATTACTAAATTGTGTCATATTTAGTCACTAGAAAAATTCAATATCAATTTTGGTCACCCAAATTACTGAAACATGTCACATTTAGTCACTCTCCCATTAGCCTCCGTCCAACTTTAGTCACTCGAATTACTGAAACGTGTCACATTTAGTCACTCAAATTACCGAAACAAGTCACATTTACTCACTCTCCCATTAGTTTCCGTCCAACTTAATGAAGTTGAACGGAAACTAACGGGAGAGTGACTAAATGTGACTTTTTCAGCAATTCGAGTAATGAAAATTAATATTAAATTTTTTTAGTGACTAAACATGTCACGATTTAGTAATCTCGGTGACCAAATGTGGCATTTTTCCAATAAAAATATGAATAAAAAAATTCGGTAAGGAAACAGAAAATTTGAGATTCGAGTCTACACATAATATAATACACCGAAGGGGAAAACGGGAGCTCCATTTCAAATTTCCTGCAACGAGAGTGAAAGTAGGAAGGACATTTTAGTCTTCACAATTACTTTTTTTTATTCATTAAAAATGACATGTAGTGGGATTCGAACCATGACCATTTTAAGGAAAAGTAAGGATCATAACCAATCACACTAAGTACATTTGTTGCATCTTTTTAAATTAAAAAGATATAATAGCAGGGAGGAAAAAACCCTTCCCCCATTTCAAATTTCCTGCTCCAGGAGCGTTTGTAGGAATGATAGAATAGGGAGTGTCAATTTTTTTCCTATTTCCTCTGTGGAACGGGCCAACTTACCGTACACATGCGGATTTAAACGGGTTCAAGAGTGTCAATTTTTTCATTAAGCCCTTTTATTTCTCCGTGGTGATAAAATATATATGAAGAGGCAAAAAAATACTTCTTTTTATTGCTAAAAATAAAAAAAAATTAACAATAAACTAATGCATGGTATCTAATGGGCTAACCGCTAACCATAAAATAAAAGAGTTGAATTGGTTTGACCTACACGGGATTTGGCCATCAAGTAAAACAAATGAACATCATTGGTTTGACATTCTAAAACAAGCTATTTTCTCTGGCATAATATATTATGCTATTATTTTACATCTTAGTGGCTAGAATATAATGTATTTTAAAGTTATTCAATGGTTCAACCTCGACCAACCCAATTAGTCCAATTTTTATCATTTCAAATATATATTATATAATTATTTGATATCATAATGATCAAATCATAGTGTATTTTATAGGGAATCGTTTGGTATTTGTTAGTAAAAAACTAAACAGAAAGATCTATTTGGTTATTTTAAACATTAAAACGATCCTGACATTTTCAGTTCCTTTTGAATTTCTATGGTTTTATTCCCGAATAAGTGATGTGCAAATGGCAGTCATCTCTTTTATTTCACTATTTTTTATTTTCAAATAAAAAGTTTAAAAGTAAAGAATAATTAGAATTTGGCATGGGTCGGTCAAACAGGCTGCATTTCAAGTTTTGGCCCCTTTTGATCAAGTCTAATTTATAATCACATGGTTCCCTGATACCCGATAAAAATCTCAATCCAAACCAGTTTGGCAGGTGAGTCCGTGTTTACCACCATTTTCTAGGGATACGACAACGACGGTTCCTATCCCAAATCGTGTTGTTCGTTCTTGATTTCCTTAGATTTTATCATGGCCTGAAAAAAACCAGAAAGCACAATGACGACAAGATGAAAGTTTTATAAACCAAATTAATCGGCCAACGGGCCGAGTAAAAACTAGCAACGATTGTGAGATGCTCATTTTCCGAAAATCGACGGGATAGGCGATTTTTTATTCGATTTTCTGGAATTCAGTTTCTATAAAACTTACTCCACCTCATCATATTACCAGAAACAATATTGTTTCACAAGGTAACAGGTACTTGATTTTGGTTCATAAGGCCGATTTTTGATTTGTTGCATCATTAATGTCTCTTTCCTGCTAAAATTCACTATTTTTATCACGTGTTTCCCAAAAAAACTTTACAACAATAAGTTATATACCCCATTATATTATCAAATTTCATACCTCACCTTCCTCTAGGGATGACAACAAAACCCGAACCTACGGGTACCCACCCGACCCAACCCGGTCAACGCGGGTAAAATCCATGTTGACGGGTTTTGGGCCGGGTTTGGGTTTTAACCCGTTCAATATTCATCGGGTTGGGTTGGATTTGGGTTTAGGTAAACCCGACCCATGGGTACCCGCCCACACCCATATAATTAATTTTCTCGATATATTTAATATTCTAAACAACTTATCTTATTTATGTTTGTGGAGACATGTCTAATTTTTTCTTTCTAATTGTGTAGAATGAAGTTGATGTTATCGAGTGGAGAGTGAAGAAACTTAATTGAAAGGAAGAAGCTTTCAATTAATCATGTTATTTATGGATAATTTGTTATTTGCTTGAATTTTCTAGAATGGTATTTTATATATGGATAATTTGTATTGAGAGATTGATATTTGACTTTAATTTTGGTAGGAACTTGTTATTGTAAATTTTTTAAGACAAAAACCTGTGGGTACCCATGAACCCGCGGATACCCAGGGGGTTGAGTTGGGTTTGAGTTTTTCAAACCCAGTGGATTTTACCCCGAATTTTTTTCACGAATAAACCCATAAATTTGAATTTGAATTTGGCAAAACCCGACCCAACCCGACCCATTGCAATCCTACCTTCCTCCGGCCAACTGGCCGGGGCCCACACTAGTATAAATAAGATCGTGGGAGCTCTTCCATAATGCATCCCTCAAAATCCTTCTATTCTACTAGCTTTCTTCCCGGCCGATGGCCGGGGCAACTTTTATTTTTATCATAAATTAATTTAAATTTTTTTAATGTAATTATTTTAATTATAAATTTGTGTTTCTAGTATGAAAATCACTTTAAATTCATCAAATTATTTTTCCAATATCAATTTCATCATAAAGTGAAAAGATAAAAAATATTTTAAAATTTAATACTTCTGAAAATACTAATATTATAGTAACCTTGTTATTAATATCATCAATTATTTTATAAGAATTGTGATTAATGTAGTAAAATTGAGAAAAGAGATGTTAGAACTAAGGAGCGGCTTATCGTTGGATTCATTCATTTAATCTTGTCAAATATCAATTCGGTTCATTTTGTAATATTTATAATTATAATATTAATACGATTAAGAATGCGACCACAATATGTTCCATCCGGTACAATCTGGTAATTGTCCGGTGTTGTACAATACAGACCAAACCATTGCACATTCACACACACACACATATAGTCTAGGCTAGCGTACGTTCTGGAGTACGCTAATCTACCGTACGCTCCATTGAGTTTTGCTATTTAGATAATGAATTAATCGGAGTTTGGGACATGATGCTATACCTTAACTTATAATGGTTGACCCCAATTCTTAATTGTCTAACCCAAATCATGAGGTTCGTTTAATCTTAAAATGAAAATTATTGATAATTTCGACGAATCAAATTCATTGGTTTCAAAAGTTTTTATTTTACATGCACTTAGAATATATAACATTTCTGCATTAAAAAATTGATGTATATTGTAGATAAGTAAATACTAATGTAAGAGTATATTAAACATCAGGGTATAAAGAATTGGTTAAAAAAATTTCAAACGTCAAAAACTAATTAAAATCCACACATTTCCTAAAACTCTGTATTTGAACGTAGCCAAATAACTAACGAAAAACCTTTCCGTTTTTATGCCTAATTTAATAAATTTAAACATGAAACCGCAGCAAGAAAACACGGAGAATAAAAAAAAAAAAAAGCAAAAAGAAAACTTAATTCCGAAAATTGCGGGGAGGGCTACGAAGCTTACGTGGATGGTGTCTTTTTCTTAAACTGCTTTAATATATTTTAAGATTTAAGATGTAGCTCGCTTCATCTCTCCCATATGTCACTGGTTACCCATCCAAAACATCTCACAAAATCACAAAGCAGGAGAAAACCGGTATTTATTTCAACCCGGAAAAGAAAAGAACAAAGCTGAACACTAATTCTGTTGTTCTATGGCTACACAGGATATTGAGACCAGCAATGACCATCTACAATGCTTTTCGACATAATAATTCATAACTTTTATCACCCATTAATCATCTACCACCTGAAACCCACTCCCTTCCCGCCTTACAGCTCAAGATGGCCAGAGAAAGTTCAAAAATTTATGTGCCACCTGTTTGCCGGAAGAGAACGCCATCATCAATCTTCAAGGCAGTTCTGACAATGGCCTCATATTTTGCAATTTGATTGGTCTGGTCTTCCACGTTTCTGATTATCAACGTAACCGCAGCCAGAAGAGTAGATACATTCCCAAGTATTTTTTACATAGGGAAAAGATCACTTGTCTCGAAGCCAGTTGATATCTGTAACATTTAAATAACGGTTACAAAGTTAAGCTTTGTTCTTTAGGAAGGAAAAGCTGAATACACACTATTATCCAGCAATCATAATTCTATAACCCCCTAATCTAAAACTATAAAGTGATGTTTTGTACCCAAACCCTGACGAAGTTATTAGATATGTCATGTCAATAAAATTGTGCTGCAAGTTGGGCAACGGAACAGATGAGAAGATATGGAGACGAACATACAACAGACTTTGTAGATTAGGTTGAGGACACCTTATAATGAAAGACTGACCTGTTTGGAAATAGTTGTGTATCACATCACTTTCCCTGGATAATTCTGTAGTTGAGGATCAGATCCTCAGGCTTCTTCCATATGTAAGCTCGCACTGTGGCTAAACTCATTTCTGGGGACAGGACCTAGGAAAAATGCCAGAGACAGAGAAAGGTTTGATTCTACCACTATAAAAGATGGACTATGGATTGCATAGAAGGTTTAATGATATGATATTGCACTCTACTGCCAGCAAGGAGGGATAGAAAAAACAGGGTGCCAATGATCTTTGATTTAACAGCCAGACAGGCATTTGAAATACTCAAATATAACTGCCTAGTCCCGTTATCTCTTTGTTATTACTGGCTGTTAACAATCTAATCTATCAGATTTAATAAAACGCTATAATCTATCAGGACTATCATTGACTGAAAACAAATACGTCCATTAAACATCAGAAAGTTTCCAAAACAGTTCCCGTCAATTCAAGGGGATATTCACAGTTTTCTTCATTCATGCTCCCTCTAAAAGGGGAGGCGAAGATCAAGAAGTAGGAATAGCTTCTCGTTTTATGCTAGAAGATGATAACACTATTTTAACTAAACACAATGGGAAGAGTATTTATCCAGATACCTGGTTATTGCATAATATCTCTATAGTATTCCTGGACTTCACCCAAGGTTTTGGTCCAGAGCGGAAAGATCCATCCCCAAGTGCTGAATGTTGCAATGGTCCTCCACCAAGTCCGGGAGCAAACGTTCCCTCGGGATTCAAATTGTCAAGTGGTTTGTCTAGAACCATCTTCTCTAGCACATAATTGACAACCTACAGAGAAGAATCAGTTTAATCGAGTAAGTTTGGCTAATCTGAATCAGATCACACAAAGTAAATCACCTCAACATAACCTGACATGACATAAGCATTTGGGGAGGGGTCAATTAGAGCCCTGAACCAAACATGTTACTATAGCATTTCCATCCATACCCATTTATATTAGCTCTGAATCTTAGACAGAATGACGGAGAATTCTCCAGATTTTAACTTATAGTTGAAGAAGGTCTGAACAAAATGGTGAGCTCTTAAAACTCAACCAAGTTTTGAGAACTATGGACAACAAACTAACCATTTACTACAGTTAATACAGAAACAATTCTGACATATGGATCGGCATAATATGGATAGACAATTCAATGTGCTAGCTAAGGCTAGAAGCAGAAAGCCTACAATACTAAAACTAATTCAAGCAATTAAGTGTCTCCACAATGTGCGGTCGTTTTATTTTTTTATATAAGGGTGATATAGGTTTACATTTTTTTCATTAGGTACTACTTAAGAGATTCGAACCTGGGACTTCCAAATTCAAGGCTAGTGGCATTACCACTAGAACACGCCCTTGTTCGTCTCCACAATGTGGGGTCTTAACAGGGGAAAAGAATGGTCTCTGCTCTCAGCTCCTAAAACCAAACACTTGCCGAAAGCCAACCATTATAATGCAAGCTAGTAACAGCTATCATGAAATGTGCTCAATAAGAAGAGACATGGCAAGTAATGCACATCCAACTAGTCCAAGACTAGTTGGATGTGCATTATAATGCAAGCTAGTAACAGCTATCATGAAATGTGCTCAATAAGAAGAGACATGGCAAGTTATGCACATCCAACTAGTCCAAGACTACGCCTCAGTCAAATAGTGGCTGATTTCAATACTTTGAGATCTGTTTCCAGATTTAAAACAATATATCCAAGTATGCAGCAAGGGAAATAGTCGGCCTGTTCCTAGTAACACACTATTAAAGACACACAATGAAACTTTTTGCTAAACATACTTTATGGATTCTCAGTATGCGTGGAGCACTAAGTTTGCCTTGTGTGAGGATCTGGAAAGAATTTCCTTCACTGGGATGCAGATAAAAGCTACACCTGCAGATATTTCAACATCTTAAACTCATCAGGTAGTGACAACAGCCAAAATCAGCAAGAGTACAAAGATCTTTGCCACCATAGCAAATACCTCAAAAAAGTTTAACTACATGCTGAAAATGTAAAGAGGAACGAAAAGGACAGCTTCCCCTTTTAAAGATTCTTTATTTGTATGCAATGTAGTCAAAATCGCGCTTTAAAACTTAAAAACTTACGATTTTACGTTTCTAGGTCACTAAAACGCTTCTACACAGAATCTTAGTTTTTACAACTTATATAGTTAAAAACTTCGCTTTAAAACTTAAAAACTTACGATTTTACGCTTCTAGATCATCAAAACGTTTTTACATAGAAACTCGCTTTTGACTACATTGTTTGTATGAAACTAAAACTACTCCTGTAACTGCAGTATTTCCAGTGATGGGGAGAAACATTACTTGGAATTCTCCCTAGGAGGTAAGCGATTATGCAGCACGCAGTCCAGGCACCACCAAGGTAAATCCTTCTCATCTTCTGTTCCGTCCAAATCAGTGATTTTCTTTCTCCATGGCCCCCCTTGAGAGCCCTCGGTTATAATTGAAGGGGGAGAAGCTGTGGAAAACTCAAATGGAGGATATATGATGGAGTCATTCTCAGCACTGCCATCTATCTCAACTCTGGAATTGGCAAGGCTTCTAGAAGTGATATCCTTGCCAGGAAGAACCTCGCCATTAGAAGAAGCTTGAGATCCAACTCTTTGCTTTTTTTTGGATAACCAATGAGACAACAGTCCTTTAAGGGTTTCACGTGCCAGATTAACCTGAAGTCAAGATCAATTTCATGAATGACTGTGATTCTGGAACTCCCAGAGACAAGAAGCCAATATTTGGGGTTCGCAACAAATCATTTAATCAAAACACATCAATGAGGGGCACATGCTTCAATGCTTGTGAGAACAAATTACAAAGTAGGACCTCAGAAATTGATATATACTCTCAAGTAAACAGAGAACGTTTCAGATTAACCACCCCCCATCCAACCACAAAAAAAGGCCATTAAAGGTCTCAACCAAATCAAAGCATTTTCTCAGCACATCTATCCACAAAATCAGAAACTAAACCAATTCTGAGAAGTAGGCAACACATCAAGTGTTTTGTTCAATACCCATGAATTATGAAAGAAAGAAACCAAACGTTTTAAATTAATTCACCTTATCATCTTCAGCTTTCCCGGGAATGCTGAGGTCTGCTGAATACATCTCAGCTGAAAAGCATTGTGGAGTGTCCAGGTGCACTGACAAGCATCCAAGCCTCGTATCCACAGTGAACCATGAAGGAATGCTTACCTATAAAAAAGTCAGGAACAGTCAGTTCCACAACACTTATCAATTTAAGATACCAAGGAGCTTAAACGCAAGAGATGCACATCTAAAATATCCATAGTACTTATACCATCTCAAATAATTGCTCTTTCTTCTCGTTGAACGGCACCTGGAGAACACACAACTTAAAAGTAAGAACATGTTACACAAAACTTAGAAGTAAGACCATTTGGAAAAGGGATATGACCTTCCCATAGTCCTCAACTATCACGCCCTTTGTGATCTCCCATAGCTTAACCGAACCAGCAGTGTCCTATCCAACATGAATGGCATAGAATGTCTCAGCAAACACTCGCTGACATACTGAAAGGTTCCTGTTCCATATACAGATAAAACTCCAGCGGTTACCTTGGTCAATAGATGTCTTTTATTATTTAAAATCTCATGCTGCACTATCGCAGGAGTTCCTGGAATCGTCAGGGTGGGTTCCCTATGAACAGGCACCTACAGCAGAAAAGAAAACAAGGCTAAGTCTAATCAAACTAGTTTCCAGTCCCCAGAGTGAATTATTTGGAGAAAATTAAAGGACCATAGGGACGAATTGGGCATGAATCCACAGAAGAAACAGGTGAGTGAAAAACCAATGAAAAGTTAATGAAACACAATTATATTTAAAATTTTACAGAAAACACAGCTCAATCAAACATTGGCAAGCAGAACCGCATGATACAGCACTTTGCATGTAAATTAATTGAAAACAGACAGACTTTATGAACATTTGTTTGGAGAACAACCTATGTCAGGAATGCTTTTATAAACACTTACCGGTGTAGACCCTTCAAGAGAAACCCTTGCCCTAGAAAATGACAAGTTCCCAGCCAAGAATGAACCGCCTTTCTGAAAAACCTTTTGGGGATTTCGTCCATCTGCCGACCACCTATCAACTGAAGAGTCGGTAGTTGCAGCCCATATACTGTCGTCATGTAGAGCCAATTGTACGATGGGGTGCTCCTTTGAACAGAGCAGAACACTTTCCCTAGTCGCCAAGTCTGTTAAGTACAACTGAAGGATATACAGTTGGAATGCCAATTTTGAGATCTCAGAGTGGGAATGCTTTTTAAGTTAGTAAAGGGCTTTGCGAAATTCACTCACAGAAAGATCTCGCCCGCCGCTATAAACATGACTAAATGTAGGGGTGCTGGCCAGGGCCCAAACAGAATCAGTATGCACCGCATAAGAATGTACACATCTTTGTTGACCGAGATCCCATAGTCTAAAGAACCATAAGCAATTCAATGTAAGATCTGGGTTGATGAGCGATGTATAACACTAATAAAAAGGTAGCCAACTTCACCTGATCATTGAATCAGAAGACCCTGATAAGCAAAACCTGGATGAAGGAAATATCAAAGTCATGTAAAATTGAAGAGAAATAAAAAAACAGATCGAAGCAAGCAGTGAGATCATTAATCTCAAAGTTCAAATGAAAAATTTTCATCACAGCATAATAAACAGAGCTAAAAGTCACAAAACATAACAGGTGTGTATGAAGATATAACGATATACGCCTCATGGGGAACAACAAAGAAGTTGCAACTTAACAGATATAGAACAATAGCACCACAAGATTAAAACAAACATTCGTCATAGACACTGGAAAGTTACACTGAAGAATGAACACTATTAGCAACTTCATTAATTCCAGGCCGCTCTCAGGGTCTTATATAATCTTACAGTAGATGTCACAAGAAAGTACCTAATCATTCTTAGCAAAACGAACCAAGTAAAATAGATCATTAACCAACCTGCCAGTAGAATCTAGAAGCAAAGCTCTAATGTTATCAGTATGACCTCTTAGCTTCATTGTCTTTGAACCACTCCTTGGGTCCCAAACACGCACAACCTGAAGGAACAAAGTTAGACCTAATTGCTTAGAAAAACCAAGAACTGGCATTATGGTGCCAGTATCTATAAGATCAGTTAGTACCAAACATCTTTCCACCAGAATAGAGCAAGGTAAGCATGCAGCAGGACTATACCTTCTCTGTTCCACCCGATACAAGAACTGATCCAGTATCATTCATTGCCAATGCATATACCGACTCCTTATGGCCTTTTGCAACAGTTGGCGCATACCCATGGGACTGAGTGTTGTGCGAAGTAATACTGTTGCTTGAGCTAATGGGCCGTAAACTTGTCATAGGCAACGAATTACCAGAACCACCTACCCCATTTGAGCCCTCATCTTCAGTTGCGTCACTTGACTTTGAAACTGGAGTGAGTGCAGCTTCGATATCCCATATGAAAACCTCTCCACCAAGGCCACAGGAAGCAATAACATTGCTCTAAAATGCATGACACTAAGAGAAAATCAACAAATGCATTTTATAACGTACAAAAAACTACAATCAATTAATCACGTCCACAAAGTTTCAAACAAAAATTACATTTCTTTCTGCTGCAGCAAGGCGTGTAACATAGTCAGAGTGCTGTCGGAGAGTTCTTGTACAAGTTCCTTTGGACAAGCTATCCCAAGTCTAGCACGTAACAGGGGGAAAAAAAGAGGTAAGAAAAACTAACCTGGTGAACCATCAATCAGCCAAGAAGAGAAGAAAAAGATTAGTGTAAGAACACCAACAAATTGTAAGGAAAACCTTAAGAGTAGTATCTGAAGAACATGAGACAAGGGTATTTTCCCCTGCAAGGACAGCATCATTCACCTGCATGGAAAGAAATGGAGCTTTGTGAACTGCATCTAATATACTAACCCTGTTTATAGTAGTACTATACAAGCATAGCCAAGATTATATAAACTTCAGAGAGGCAAATTATCATTTCCACAAAGATTAAATGACCAAAAAAGCACTCATCAGTTCCCAATTCTTTGAAAGAAGTAACAGCAAAGAAACAACATGCTCACTTATCAAAATTCAGTACTTTTCGAGAAAATTTTAACTCCAGCTATCAGCTGAAGGCTACAAGAGGTAAGACTAATTGCAACCAAAACCAATAGAGGAAAACAGCAATCTGACCAGCAGCACGAATGCCATTAGATAATAACAGTGAAGTGAAAAAGGAAAAAGAATATACCCAATCAACATGTGACTCAAATGTAGCAGAACAAGTAGCAGAATCTTCAGACACTGCCCACCTCTTCAATGTGCCATCACGACTCCCAGTGAAAAGGTAATCTCTCCCGGAAGATGATGACTTTAGCACAGTCACACAATTTACACCAGCACAATGCTGCAATCATACATAACCAAAACTAAGCACTGTAAGAACGAAACATCGAATGCAAACGGCTAACCTCATTGGGGTACTTAATCAGTAAAAAAACTAAAATTCAAAGCTACCTTACCTTGGTATCATCTGCATCATTCAGCACATATGTAAGCCTCTTCTCTTTACGCGGACGAACAGAACTATTTGTGTTCCCTGCACTACCCACTCGGTGCATTGCGGAACTCCTTGAATAAACAAAACAGCCAATCAGCAAGAGAGAAATTAATTTCCTTTTCTGTCTACTATAAAGGGCTGACTATTACATGTGCGAATGAACATGGTTCTCGTAATAACAGAACTTCTGATCAGTCATTCTACACAAGAGTTGTACACATCTTAAAACAGGTTAAAAATTCGTCCTAATGAAATTCAAAAGGTTAATTGCAGGTCACACCACGTTAATGGTGGCAAATCAGAACAGATTTAATCTCGACAATAGTCCAAGAGTTACAACATGTAACGGGTTGATGCTTGACAAGCCCTCACACTGTAGCAAAGAAGGAAGCATCCAGTCGAACTGAGATAATCCACTAAACATCCAACCAGCTAAACATTCGAATTGTGGCGGCACCAAGGGTACAAGTTGTCACCCATCTCAGAATAGGCTTCAAAACCCAGCAGCGCTCATAATACTGCAAAAGTTGCTTACTTCCCTACTTATTACTTCTAAATTTTCGCAGTCATTGCAACTCATGCCATAAAATACCTTTCAAACACCAAAAACTCCACCAAGCAGAATTATTTAAGCCAAACCAAAAGGAAATAAGAAGATCACCTTACGCCACACGCATCAGATTTCATGTAGTTCCCACGAAAGAGACAACCAACGCACCAAACACAAACCAAATATCCACATACCAATCGCCTTCAAGCTTCAGCTAACTAACTAAGAATCTAAGTCCACCATTCACCTCCTCTTAAGCGAAAGCCTTTCCATCCATCCACCCATCCACCCTCACTACTTCCCCAATAAACTTAAGTTCAATACTACTAACTCCTCTCAACATCAGCCCGTCTCAATTCAACATTCGGCGAATTTACGTTGTTTGCATGCGATCCAATCCCTAACTAAAATAACGGTGAAAGAGACGCATCAAAACACTAGTGCCAATGCGCGGATTAGCCGCAATCGGACTTTGAACTCCCCCAAGTGTCCCAGCGAGACCCAGAAAGCTAATAGAGAGAGAGAGAGACGAACTAACCGGTGAGCAACGGGATTTGCAAACTACGGCAAAGGACTCAGGAGAGCTCTTCAGATGTCTCCGATTGCCGCGCGATTGCAAGAAGTCGGACACAGTGTGGAATTTAACATTAACAAAAATACAAAAACCCTAGCGATTGCAGATTGGAGAGCTGCTTCCGATGAAGATGATGGTGAAAATCGACGGCGATGGCGAAGAAGAAAAAGATTGGTACTGTAGAGGTGTTTCTATGAGACTGTTTGCTCCCGTCGTCTTCTTCTTATGTTCTTCTACACACAGAGAGCCGGATGTGGAGAAAGGGAGAAAGAGAGAGATTTGAGAAAGAAAAGAGAAAATACGAAAAAGGATTCTTTTGAGACGGGGAACGGGAAAGTGGAAGTCAAAGGTAAGAGGGAGACAGAGAGAGAAGCGGAGCTAACTCTTTTGTTTGGATAATTAATCACGATTAGCGTTGCTGATGCTGGAAAGTGGTAGGGCCGGAAAATAAAAATTTATTCATGTATTAATCTATGTATATTAAGATTAATGTTTTAAGGTAAATAAAAATGATTTTTCTTGATTATTAGTTCAATTCTTTGTGGGGTTGACTAAAGAAATTGTTCATTTTTCGTTAAGTGTGGTCTATCTGGACCAGACCAGATCAAACCAGACCGTACAGGCGTGATCTGGACTAAATCGTATAGTTTGTGGTCTATACTTCAGTCTCTCGGTCTGGACCGTGGACCGTATATATGGTCTGGTCTGGACCAGACCGCACCGTTTCCCAGTGGTAATTATTTTGAAATCTTTTTTTCTTTTTGATCCATTTATATTGATTATTGAAGCATTGGGAAGAGGCTAAATGGTGCATTGGACTTTAAACTAGGGTGGCTATGCAGTTCGAGTCGATTGTTAAATTGGCCCAGAATGACCCGATTTCGGTTAGATCTTTTTAGAAATATGGAGATAAAAAGCGGAATTGAATACAGTCCGGTCCCAATTCGATTTTGACCGTTCTGACCTTGTTGCAGAATATATCCCATTTTTTGGAATACAGACAACCAACATAATTTGTAGAAAACTAAATCTCAAAATCTCATTCAACATCCACACCACAAACATCAAATTAAATAAACGTCAGAAAACGAAAACCAATAGTACAATACTCACCCAGTTGCTGCTCCCCTGCATCGAGCTGATTTCGGCGGCTGCTACCCGGTGGTCGTCGCGAAGGGTCGGTTCTGGACTTCTATTCCAGAGGGTAGAAGCAACGGGAGGTGCGGCGTTAGGAGTAGGGCTGGTAACCGGTGTAACTAGTAATTGGTGATTTTTGGTTAAACCATTAACCAACAATATCAAGTATACGGTACAGGAAATTTGTCTTTCGGTATACCGACCTATGTCCGGTTAATAACAGGCAGTATTCGATAATACCGAATATACCGGATAAACAACAGACGGTACCTCTCAAACCTCTCAAAGCACCTACCAATCAACAAGAAGCTCATCTACTTCATCTCATCCCTCCTACCACAATCCTCTGCTTCACCTTCATCCTCTACTTCACACTCCGCCCTTCCAAGCGCCAATTCTCCCTCCAGCAAGCTGACCCCCCGACCAACCTCCTCAACTCCTCCATCCAGCTCACTTTCCTCTCCACAAACCTGAAGCAAAGAGTCGGCATACGACGAGTTCTAGGTCTATGTTGTCTACAAAGGTCAGCAAATCATGGCGGGCAGTCTGGTTCCCGGGTTTTATCAGGGTCATGAGGATACTAGTTTGCTGACGGCTTCTGGCACCATGGTTTCGATACGAGGTGGGAAAAGATCAGGTTGCTGGGAGGATGGTTTCGAGGTTGAAGGGGAGAGGTAAGCTGAGGTGTGAAGTTGGGAGCTGGGTTTCTGGTGCGTATAGGTTTAATGTGGATTGTGTTGCGGTGATGCCATTCGGGGATTCCCATTCGACCTTGCTGGCGGGTCCCCTAAGTTCTAGGCCTCAGGGCACTCGTTGCTCTACTGATGTTTGAAGTTCAATTCAAATGGTTACCAACATCTGAATGAAAACCCCTCTCCCGTTGGACTGTGGAGCCGACGTCAACGAGCCTGGTGGAGGAGGAGTTGGTTCGTGCCTTCGTGGAGTTGGAGTGTGGCTGCGATCTGTGGAGAAGAGATTAGGGTATTCCAATTTTTGGAAAAGGCTGATGGGCAAGGATATGGATGATAGAAGCCGAACGGGTGGGCTGAGTTTGTTGTGGGAATTGTTTATGTATACTAATTCTTGCAACACAGCGGTTCAGTTCGATTTGGTTCAAATCGGTTCGGTTTGGTCTGGTTGGTTGCACAAACCAATTTAACCGATTACCAACATATTACATCAAATCGACCGAATTCGAGGCTGCTACTTCCCACATCTTACCAACATGGTACTTCAAGAGATTCTCTTGGATCTTTCTTCTTTCATTTCCATTCGTACCATTAAAAATCATAACAGAGTTGTGGGTTGGGCTCATTGCCCAGTCAATCAGTGGGCTGAGTTTTAGATGTAGGGCCTATTTAATTTTTTATCCGGTCTTCCGATTTTGAGACGGTTTTAACACTGATTAAAATGGTTCGGGTGTTTGGCTATTTTTATTTTAGGGCTATAGACAGGATTCAATTTTGTTTTACATCCAGTCCTGTTCTTAAACGATCCCGATTTATAATATCCAATTTCGGGTTAAACTGAAAAATACGGACCAAATAGCTAGCCCTACTTTAAACTATGATACATGAGAAATGTTATAAGAGAGGATTTTGGAATATTCAGAACTGATTCCCTACAGTAGGGAAGTTTGCGGATATATTTGGAAGCCGTTAAACGAAGCATTGGACCTTAAATTATACTTGTGTTTGTTTGTGTTTTTTTTATTTGGTTAACTTTTTATGAAGTTGGGGAATTTTTTTTGTGAATTTGGAAAAAAATTAATTTTTAAGAGTTCATAAAAATTAAATTTGATTAAAAGTAATATTTTTATTGACAGATAATTAGTTGATGAGATGATGAATACTGTGTTAATAGTACCCTAGTGAACGGGAAGTGAGAAATTGACTATTATAGGTATAACTTTAGGAATAAATAATTTTCTTAAAATCTAATGGTGTAAATTAAAGTAGTTTTTAGAGTTTGGAGTGAATAGTGTCTTTTATTGAAAGTAGAGCAAAATGTGAAAGTGTGTTTGTTTTTACTATAACTTAAATGAAGAAGAAATTTAGAAATTGAAATTTGAAAAAGGGTCGAGAGTGCCAATAATTCATAACATTAATATGATGAGTAGTAGTTATCTATGTAATGTCATATTAGGAGTGTACATGGGTCGGTGGTCAAGATTTAGTCATTTTAATCACCCGACCCATACATTACCGTTTAGAAGATACTAAACCCAAATCCACCCACAAAAATAAGAACCTTACTGTTTGTTTATAGTTGGGTTGGGTCGGGTGGACGATACTTTTAAGTAAAAACCCAACGCAACTAAAAAATGCAACTATTTTATACCACAAAATATAATATAGCTTTTATAATATATATAGGGAGTTCTACGGTACCCAGGGTGAAATCCTGGGTACCGCATACCTTGAGTAAGAAAACGCTATCCAGAACTTGAATTGACTAATCTTTCGGACATGATACTATACTCTAACCCTTATTGATCAAAATCTAGGTCTTAATTCTCTAAATCTTATACTCCAAGATCAATTTAATTAGAAATAATAATCGACGGTTATTTATATATATATATATATATATATATGGTGACTACTTCGGTGCACTCACAAAAATGAGTGCGTTCAATGCACCTAACTCAAAAACTAGTCTTAAGGTGTCGAATTTTAAATTTTAATTTGTAGAATTAGTGTAATATGATGATATAACATATGATAACAACTAATTAGCGGATTACCCTAAGCCCTAAACCTCCAATTTTGAGTTCTATCCCTATACCCCAAATTGTAAA